TTCGCTCTGTTCTCATTTAAATTAATCCGTAAGTTTCTCTCGAAAACATATTGCAATATTACGAGGTGCAATACACATACGTATTTTTTGGACTTCAGCGATCGATGTAGAGTTTTTTCCAGATACATGCAACAGTCATGGGCGTAGCAAGGAGGGCCTGTCCCCCTATAATTGAAAATAGTATCACCTGCTGCAACAGGGGTCAATATACCATGAGATGCATGCTCGACTCCTCTCATGGGATCTCAAAGACTACGATTCCGTCGATTTGGGGCACTTTGGGGCTAAAAACTAAACATATCCTGAATCTGGAAGGTATTCTGAACAACATATCAAAAAATTACGATGATACATTTTGATATATTTTTTTAATCTCTGTTTAAAGACGTCATCACATCTCATTTATTCATCACGTGGTTGATTTCTGACATGTATGGACGGACGCCATATTTGTCGTTAAATTTGAGGTCCAATTGAGTAGAAATCAAATAGATTATGAATTTGAAACATCATTCTAACAACTTATCCGAAAACACGGCTCAACTCATGCATGCACACTGGCTCTCTTTGGTCTCACGTAGGGCTGTTATGAAAACAACCCAATATGCCGCTCAGTGCGCGCCAGAGCCTTGACCTGAGGTCACAAAAATGACGATTCCGTCGATTTGCGGCACTTTGCGGCTAAAAACTAAACATATCCTGAATCTGGAAGGTATTTTGAACAACATATCAAAAAATTACGTTGATATATTTTTACATATTTTTTTAATCTCTGTTTAAAGATGGAAAGATGGAATAAACCAATTTCTTCGCATCATCAAAGAAAAGCCGTACTGAATGATTCTTAATTTGAATAATAAAAATAATGAAAAGAGTTTTTGTGAAGAAAAACTTACCTTACCACTAGGTATGCCAGCTTGATCCATCCTCTGCACGCTGATAGCAAGTATCACCTGTCACAACACATGATGCGCGCTGCACAATTTCTGTTATCAGTGCATCCGCGCGGTCACCGTGATTTCCCCCTCTCCCCCCTCCCTCCAACAAGATTTTCATGTCAACAAACTCCGAATTTTTTTCCCCTGACCATCCTTCTCTTCAACCCACCGGTCATTTTCACCATCCATCAAAGTCGAATTTTTCGATTTTTGTCCATGGGACACTGCACTGTGCGTCGCGTCGGTCCCAACAACATACGAGGTCTGTTCAATAAGAAACCAGATTTTGGTGATAACTAGCCCACAATAAGTTCAAATTAGGTTTTCTTGGACTTTCCTGATAGCTGATAACATGCTGAAGAACGCTAGATTCACAGATTTTGTTTTATTTTGATTTATGTTCATTCTGTGTCACCTTGAATACGAGTAAGTCAGGTGCTTTCTGCGATTTTCATAATGCGATCACTGATAGAGCAAAGATTTAACATTAAATTTTGTTTTAAACTCTGTATACCTTGTACCGAAACTTTTGGTATGTTAAATAAAGTTTACCAAGATCATTGTATGAGTTTTTATCACTGTTTTGAGTGGGTTAAATGATTCAAAATGGGTCAGGAGTGGGTCGAAGATGAGGAGCACGGGAATGGACCATCAATGGCAACTGACATTTGCCACGAGAAAGGAGTGCGGGCAAAAGTGCTCAAAAATGGTCGTTTCGAGCTTGCTGAACAGCGTGATACTTCTTTTGCTCTGTACATTCAATTTTGATAGAATATATAGACATGCATCGAGTTTCAGGTAAACTTGTCCCGTGATTGTTGTCCGTTGAATAAAAATTCAACCGAATGCCAATTTCCCTTTAGCTGCTTGAACGTTCTAACAATGATCCTACATTTTTGGATAGGATAATTTTCGGTGACAAGACATGAGTGTACGGCTACGATATGGAGACGAAACTCCAATCATCCTTGTGAGTTGAGAAAGGCAGTGCAAGCCCGAGAAGAGAGAGACAAGTTCGGTCAAACATAAAAATCGCAAGACACCCATGAGGTTGCCTTACTTCAAGCCACGTACCAACTAAGCTAGTTAAGATTTTTCAAATTTGTGAACGTACCGTTCTTAAGTGTATTTTTTATCAAGAAAGTTCAAGATAACCTAATCCGGACGCATTTTGGGCTAGTTATCACCAAAATCCGGTTTCTTATTGAACAGACCTCGTAGTGACAGTCAACTTCCATTGTCATCAAATTTTCATTATTTTAAACGAAAACCTAAGTTTCGGCCTTTTCAAAATCCGATACCCCCCAAAACCCCCGCCTTAAATCAGGGTTTTTGCAATTTTGAGGGAAAAAATGAATCGGGCGTACAAAAAACAGGGGAATATAATTTTTCCGAGAATTCATCGAAAACTGTTGTCGCAGTGCAGGAAAAACAATTTTTTTTGCCGACTTTAGGGAGCCGTAGGGGGTTTTTAGGGAAAACTTCATAGAAGAATAAAGTCTATTTTTACACCAAAAATCGATCCTGAAAGGAGCACCGCATGGCAAGTCTCTTTATCTCATGTTTTTGTTCGTGGAGCCTGAACGTGATGTCTTCCACAACCGACAAAATTGATGCTTCACTCGAACTTCTTCGTGAAATATACAATTTTCGCACATTAGATGGGCATGCGATTCTATTAAAACTAATTAAACTCTGCCTGCTTCTAAAGAAAGTTCATCACAGTTCTTCTTGTGAAGTTAAGATAAAATGAATGATAAGGACAGCGATTAATTACCGTTCGCTGATTCCGCGGCTTTAATTTCAGGCGATCCGAAGCCACTCATGGCTTCAGAGTCAGAGGATTCGCCTTTCCTATCACCTTCCTTCGGCTCATCATCCACTAAAGGCTGATCAGCCACTATCGGCTGACTATCATCCTGGTCCTGGTCATCATCCACATCTTCCTCTGAAATACAAGGAATAAAATATTAAAGACAACTGTTCCAACTTATAAATTCAATTTTCGGTAAAGAAAAAAATCAAACGTACGCTCGTCTCAACCCCAATGGAAAACGTACGGAGACAGATTAAAAATAGCTATCAAATGACTCCCCACGCTCGAACGCAGTGGCTATCACGACAGAAGAATGACAAGAACTTGCGGGGTGGCAAAGCACATCTAAACCGACTCATTAGAGATGATACAGATTACAAAATTAGATGACATCAATGAAACTAAATTTTACGAATTTTAAACTGCCGCGAAGGTCACCACCTCTTCCACCTGTTTGATCACAACAACTGCATCGTTCTAACAACAATCAAGCTGAACTTCAATGGACCACTAGACCGGGTACAAATTTCAGCATTCTGGTACATGTTTCGTAACCAAAATTTCACGTAGAATACGACGCGCACGACGAAAATTACCGAAATCAACTCCCTCCAAAGATATTTAATGATTCTTGATGCGTGAATTCAAACTACCCGCTCATGAAAACTCAATGCCCTGCGTGATTCACATCGTGCGCTAAACGTTATTATGACAGTCTCTGCGATATAAAAATCTGGCAACCTCAATCTTGACACTCTAACTCAGCTGTAGCAAATTGCTTATAGTTTGAAAATGGAGAGGTCGTGAAAACCATTGGATGATCCGTTCATCCGAGATCTATAGCAGGATGTTCCGTTCATCAACCATCACTTTCCCTCCTCCCGCATCCAATTGTTATTTTTTCCTGTGCTTTTCCCCTCCGTTATCGGTTATTTTTATTTATTTATTTTTTTTTTTTTTAGAATTTATTCTTGAATTGCGCCTACATACAGTATTAAGTAATTTACATTTTAGAAGTACCCTTAAACTAGACTATATATACATTTTAACTTGTGGATTATTAAATCCTATGGGTGAGTCGAACTATGAGGCAGAGTCAGAATGTACAGTTTAATTGTTCCAGGTGTCCCAGGCCAGGCCGCGGTAAAATTTATCGGCTGAGATGGAAACAGGGACTTAAGTCCTGGGAACACCTGAAACATAAAGCATTTCTTTTATTTCTCATTAAGGTTTCTCAGTCGAGATGGTTCCTGAAATATGATACCAAGGGCAATCATGTTAATTCGACAGAAAATATAGGGGACCTTCCACGAAAGCAAGAAGCAGAAAACAAGAAGAAACAAACCTTTGATTGCAATTTCTTTTTCCTCCTCCCAGTTACTTGAGTTGACGTGTTCATAGGTTGATGCAGCGCCAAAGATAGTGGTATCTACCAGAGCTCGATTCACTGCGTAGCAGCTGTTTGCTTCTTGGACACTTTTGATTTCATTCTTAACATTTTCATTTAAAATGTCCGATAAGTTCAATGCTGTACCTTCTTCAAAAATATCGAAAATTCATTCAAAGGCAACTTTGCTGAAGAAGCAAGGAGAAAGACTTCTGTGAACAATGGCTAATGATATGATTTCACCAAATTTGACATATTCACCGTCTCTAAGGGATATAACACTTTTCCTCATTGTTTTCATGAATTCATTGCCTTCAAACAGGTGCGATAGTTTTATTTAGCCATCCATGCTAGTCCATTGCAGCCCACCCGGCCCATAACATTGATTGACAGCACATGCCAGCCCACGCCAGGCCATGCTAGTCCGAGCCAACCTATGCCATCCCATGCCAGTGGTTGCCAGCCTACGCCAGCCCGTGCTAGTGGTCGACCTTCCAGGCAAGACACGCGGTTTTCATGCTAAAAACGCGACCTTTACAGCTCGATATCTTGAAAGGTTTTGACTTTAGAAAAATTTGGGAATGATTACTTCACAAAATAACCTCAGGAACTTCATATTTCAAGCTCATTAAAAATCTTTCATATGCCAATTTAGAAGGATAATCACGTAATTCTCTACTAATTGCCAGATTGGACAACGGACAGAAGTTTGAATTGCGCGCTCGCGTTGAGTTTGGTTAAAGCAGCGCTCTCTCTCGGTAACCTAACCGTAGCTGCGGGTACTCTTAGGTTACCGCCAGGGAGCGCTACTGCTCGTTCGGCGGGAGATCGGCAAGTCACGTGAGCTGTTATCACAACAACAGTTGCACGGACGTTGATTTCACAACTTTCTTTTCTGCGATTGTGCCACTTTCCGCACGTTTTTACCGGTTTTGGTGCAGCCAGTGAACTCGCGAAGTAGTGTATTGGTTCTCCCACTGCTAGTCTCAAGTGAAAGTGCAATCTACCTCGTCTTTCCTGGTTTGTGGTGGTCCAATGGCCTCAAATTTTCGTCGGTATTCCTTCTGTTTGCACTTCGAGGCTCCATTCCACTCTTTCGTCGAATGCCAAAACCCTCTCATATCTCCTTTAATACAGTCATCTCAGATTTCTCATTTTTCACATAGTTAATGAAACATATTTTCTTACAGTTGGATGTTCAAAGCAAATTCTTCTTGCGACCCATATCATTGTAACTTGCAACAGTGCTCGGAGTGTCAATTGAAGAGTTCAGCATCATGGAGTTAACTATTTTGAAGCTTATTTTCATGCTCATGACGTTCTTTATAATGTTTGTTGGAGGTCTAATTAACTCGCTTGAGAAGCATTTACCAGACTTCATACTGCAGTCTTTCAAATATGGCAAATTCGCTCATCATGTTTCTTCTCCGCTCGTGAAGCCCATTGAAATACCTAAAAGGTGAGTTGCTGTCCATATCTTTTCTCAAATATGCTTCTAATGTGTCATTATTTGCTATTAGAGAGGAAAATTTTAGGTATATACTCCATGTTCTAATGAGAGTTTGTCAGGTACTCAGTTCCCAAGAGCAAACTCATCAACTTTGAAAGCTGATTTCAAGGAAGAAGTTGTTGTTAACTATCATACCAAATTTATTTTTTGCCTGTTATTAATATTTGCGTTGATAATGCTTAGGTCACAGTCGCTCACATTTTCATTGATAACGTATTGCCGAAATTAAATGTCCCAAATTCAGAACAAAGTCAAAGGCATGGCGGCAGCACCTTCCCATCTCTATATTAGCCTTAAAGTTTAGTTAAATTATTATCTGTTGCACATACATTGATCAAAATTTCTCTATGAGGAACAGAGTATCGCTGCCTGGCCCGTGTGACTCGCGATCAGATAGGATCAGGCAAAACTAATATTAAGGTGATTTGATGGACGCCATATTTTGTGTCAGAACGGCATGCGATACATCGCATCAATTGGTTCCATTTTTTCAGCTACTCGTCATTTTTCTCCAATTTTGAGATCGCAATTCTGTTGTTAGCAGACTAAAGCACTCACTTACCAATTTTAACAAAGAAATTCAACTTAATAAAGGCGTGGTTTTTTTAGAGAGAAAATATCGCATTCGAGCGCAGTTTCGATATCAGTATCGAATGCGATGTTTTCTCTCTAAAAAAACCACGCCTTTATTACATTGAATCGCTTTGTTAAAATTGATAATTGAGTGCTTTAGTCTGCTGACAACAGAATTGCGATCTCAAAATTGGAGAAAAATGACGATTAGCTGAAAAAATGGAACTAATTGATGCGATATATCGCATGCCGTTCTGACACAAAATATGGCGTCCATCGAATCACCTTAATAGTTTTGTGAAGCGTGGTATTAGGAACAAATACAGATCATCATGGCACTTAAGTCCTCCACAGGATCATTTAAATTGCTGTGAGTACCATTCACAGGGTCTGACAGTGTATCAATCCATGCACAACCGTCACAATTGTAGTATATGATAAAATTACGCCTTAGGGACTTGAAAAACAAAAGGGATGGTTGCAGTTTTTGGAAAAATTGAGATATTGATGATTTCAACTAAAACTAGTCCTAAAATGTACTTTCATAAATTTCACTGCTAAAGATCCATTTTTAAGCAACCAGAGGAGCTCTAACTTTCATTCGGCCTGAAAGCTCTATGTAATTTTGAACCCTAAAACATGTATTTCTTGTATTGATGATTGATACAGCAGATTGATACAAACATCTTGTATGATGTTTGTATTAATCTGCTGTGATCTTTATTTTAATTTCAGATGGTTCCGGCACTTTTACGTATTTGCAGCACTCTTTTCATCCATTGCCTTTGCTATTTCATTCAATGTGTTTGTCTTTGCTCGTCCAATCCCATCCTGGCTGTCGTTCTTACTGGACTTCCTTGGTCCTAATTCAAGAAATGCCACCGGTATGATGCTCGATTTATTGAATTTAAACGCCTAATGTATAAATTACTGCCATGTGTAAAAGACGCAGCAACTTTTTCTCAGAGTCTCATTTTAAATTTCGCTATTTTGGAGAAAAAGTTTGAGATTTGTTTATTCTCAAGACTATCATCAATTTAGGACTGGCGTGAAAAAAGAACACTGCTTTGTTACAGTGTTTCTGAATCTCCATCAATAATTTCTTGCTTTTGAAGGAAATCACTAGATCATTGAACTTGAGATGTGTACCAAAGATATTGCAAAATTATGAATAATATTCAGTCCAATTCCCGTCGCTCTACTTCCGATTTTTTTTTCTTGTCAAGAGAAGAAGTGTTGGATGAAATTCTGAAACATAGAAAATGAAAAGTGCCCTTCTCGCATCCAAGTCCTCAATTGAATCGACGTGTGCGAAAACGTCCAATGTCCAAGATAGTGTTTCAGAATTTGAGTGAACAATTTTTTTGTAATTTCAGTCATAAGGTGGTTTAAGACATTAGGAATGTAGAACAATTTCATAAATTATCCCTAAGTGTAATTAAATGCTTACGAAAGAGATCGATCCTATTCATCAGTGTCGTGGGACAAAAGAAACCCACCGATTATGATTCCCTGTATTGGCTAACGGACTTTTTCGCATACATCGATTCAATTGACTAAGTAGTGTCCTGTGTGTATGAAGAGCATGTAACTCTAGAAAATAGGGAAAATCTCAATTGGTAAGAAAGAATTAATTGTTAATGTCCAGTACAATGATCCCTGGCTTAAAGGTTCAAAAATTCAACTGAGTTGTTTGTTCTATACTCAAGTTGCTCCTCTGTTTTCTTTTAAGGAAGTTTTTCAGTTCTTTGGCAAGATGATGAACTTTAAAAGCATACATTTCATCTTAAAAAGTTAACTTTCATTTCTCATGAAGAAGCCAACATGCATGCTCATCTATGATGAAAATTGAAGTCTCTAGTTTGTGAGGAATTTTCTTACAAATGATACAGTTCTAAACTTTTCCTGTCTGATGTTAAATCTCTTTTACTTTCAGTGACAGCAAGTTCATCACTTCTGGCGCTTTTCCTTCTCACCATGCAATCTTGGAGACGATTTTATGAAACACACTATATTAGTGTCTTTTCTGACACGAACATCAACCTAAGTCATTATCTTGTTGGTTACATGCATTACTTTGGAGCCATCTGTGCAATTCTCATAGAAGCTCCAGGCTTTGCAACACCCTCATTTGGTAAATATATTTGGCTCATCAATTATTCTTCATATTTATTGCAGAGGACTTTTTTTTTATATATCTTTTTAAAGTTTATTCTCTGGTCCCCTTTACTGGACCTAGCGTAATGATGTTTAGAAGGATATGGTATGGGGAGAAAGGAAATCGAGCCAAATAAGAAGGATCAAATCAAAGGTTTGGGACACCTGTTCGAACCGAAAAGTATGAATTTACAAATGTGAAATTTCATGCCCCAAAGTATAATTTTTCTTAAGAATGTACTGTTTCAAGAAAAGGCTATTTTCATTTGATACTTATTCTTTAAGACCCAGTTTAGTGTCATTCTAAAGTTTATTAAGTTCATCAAAACCTTTACGGAGAACCATGTGAAGATGGTGGACAACTTTTTGGCAATTCCTCCCAATAACATTTTCTTCTTTTTTTTTGGTATTCAAACCGCAGGCTAAAGAGCACTATTGCGGAAGTTTTCGAAAGGAGGGCAATTAAATGTTGTTCAGTTTGTTTCTCTGAAATTCTGGATGCCGGATTTGCCTTGATAGGACAAATAGACAGCAACAGTCTTCAATGTTCTGCCGCTTGTGCTAGTGATGGCTCGGAGAAATGAGTGCACCTTGATTATTCTTGGTCCTTTTCAGTTGTGCAGATAAATCCAAGCCTTTCCCATTTAAAACCAAAATATCGGAGTAGTTAGAAAAATAGAAATAGACTTTTTGCCTAAGAAATTGTACATTTCCATTCTGAATCACAACAAGAATGGAAGTAACAAAATACAATCTGAGAGGACTTGCCTTTTTTTTCCATTTTCTGATGTCTCATTTAGTTAGGAGGTTACTGTTGCCCTGGATTCTTCTCCTCGACAGCCCCTCAGTCATGGACGGCTATTAGTAATATCATTTCTATTAACAAGTATTTGACAGTTTTCTCCTTAAATTTGCCGACCAGTGGTATAAAGCAGTCCATAAATAATGTCCAATTTTTTTCCAGATTACAGAGCATCTTTGTCGCTGAGCGATTTATCTGTGGGTAGTATTGCTGGTGCTTTAATTTTCCTTTGGGCCTGGCATCATCAGTTTAAAGCTGCCATCATACTTAGCAAATTAAGAAAAGATAAAAAAGGTGAGTAAATTTAAATTAGTATGCAGTACGGTAAAATATTTTTGGAAAATTTCTCAAATATTAAATAAATTGAAACAGAAATAATTTTAAGTTCGCATGCTGTTACTGAGGAATTGTTAAATTTTCTCTTTGGCATTGTTTTTAACAATTCTGCATTGTTTTACATTGTTGTCGGGCAATATTGTAGCAATGTTTTATTTGTAGGAACCTCTACTTTGCGTAAATAGAATGAAAGTCTCTGAAACCTTGTCATAATGTAGTTTTTTTATGAAAACAGTATAATTACACAGACAATCGAAAACCTCAAACTTGATTGATTAGCATAATGGAGCATGATTACATGGTACTTCACCAAGCACTTTCTTATTACTTAAAAACAAAAATTATATCTGAAGTAACTGAGAGCATCGATGCTATTGATTATTTATCAATCTGCAATCGCAGAATTGAAAACCCCCTATTCCTTTATCTCATCACTATCAGTTTTCAATGGTGCAGATTTTCTTTGATCTTTAATTTTTAATCATGAGAATTGCAACTTCCAGAAAATTTCTACAGTTTTTCTTTTCCAATCGATAAATGTTCCATGAGTATTTTAAGGACTAAAGTTGGCTTGTTTCTCCTCGAAGATACTTTGAAAAACTGCAGTGAAGGTACTTACCAGGTTTCTGAGTTTAGCTATGGATGCATTGCAACAGTCAAGGGACTGTGAAGGCCTGATGCATTTGGATTTGCGGAACATCCTGGTGCAGTAAGAATGAGCGTTTCAGTCTCTTAACCCAAACAGATTTTAACATTTTTATCAGTTTTCATTTTCTCATTTCAAATTGTTAACTTTTTTAAAGACCTATTTTTCTTTTGCAGGTGCTGTTGTCAGTTACGAGCATAAAATGCCGAAAGGAGATTTGTTTGAAGTTGTATCCTCGCCTCACTTTTTCTGCGAAATGGTGATGTACTTAGCGCTAACCATAATTCTGTGGGGTCATTGCACCTGGCCGTATGTCTTCTTTTGGGTGCTTTGCAATCAGGTTAGCATGGAGCCACTTTTTTAATCGTACTTCATTTTGCAACAAGGAACTAATACCTCTTACTCTGCCGTTAAAGCTCGTACCTGCAAAAGAAAGCTTATAGCACATTATGTTGTTTCTAAAATTATCAAGATATGGTAGTTCTTTAATGCAAAATGCTGTACAATTGTTACTGCTTTCAAGAAAGGGAACCTACCTCAATGCCGAAAACTCGAAATTGAAATATTGGTGCTACAGTTTCAAGTATTGTTTTTCAAATATTTCGGAATGAAAAACGCCCAAAAATGTAAAACCAACTGAAATTTCGAAATCAGCCTTTGTGCATTCCAAGTTGCCTACTCTCCTTGTTTTATTTTTTTAAAACCAAACACTATAATGTCATGAAACTTACTACCCATTTCCTCTGGATTGTAAAGAATACACTCACAAAATTTCAAGTCAGAGTGATGATTTCTTTTCTGTTGAAAAAATTAAACTTGAAAGTAAATTTAGGCAATGTCTGATGTTTATGTAGTAACGCTGATCCAAGGTAAATCTGTCAGATCATCAGATAAGCTTTTTCTTCAAATTTTGTTTCCATCTAATATCTCTTTAAGGTCAGTTTTATAAGAATATTTTCATATGACAGCATCTTATCTGAGGTACCTGTAATCTATGCAAGTAAATGTATCTCCAAAGTATTTAAACGGAAAAAAGAACTCTTCAAAATTACTGCATGAATTTTTAATCTATCTTGTCTGATTTTTCCTTTTTTACTGTTGCAGCTGGAAACTGCTTTACTGAATCACTGGTGGTACAAATCAAAGTTTGATGACTATCCAAAACAGCGGAAAGCGTACATCCCGTACATCTTGTAGATCTGAAGATATCTGCAGATATCGCTTCAATGCATAAGTCATTTTTTTTGTGGTGCCTTAATGAGTGGTCCCAACTTCGTTTAATGTCAAAAGTGTTCCGTAAAATACCGAGCACCCTCTGTACAAGTAATGATAAATTTTCCTCTGAAGATAATTCTACAAGTAACGATAACTTTTCATTTGAAAATAATACTCTTTATCATTCCTAAAAATAGGAGGTTTAACTGGAGAAAAGCTTATTGATTCTAAGGTAATGTTGAAACCTATCAAATTTTGGGCGATCTTTAACTTTTGTGCGTTCAAAAAGGAGTGAAACCAAAGAAAGCACCTTCATTGGTGTCTCGAAACTCAAAGGAAGTCTCAGTTTCCAGTGAGGAGAAGTCAGTGATATCAAAAATGAAGAATTCATATGCAGTGAAAACACTTTTTGTTAAGAAAATAACTGTGTCAGACTATGAATAATCATAGAAACTAAGAGGGTAATTGCTGTCCCTTCAATTATTTATGTTCATTTGCATTTAATATCTTTCTCATTTTTTTCTTAGCTTTTAGCGCATTTCAAAGCTAAGTAGTCACTTGTTGCGTCATGAAAGTATGGCTCAATTCTCTGCATTTTGTCGTGTTCCTAAAAATTATCAACCAAATATTGCATTTTTATTCTTTTTTCTAGTGAATTTTTCATTCTTTCAATTCACCAATTGTTATTTTGATTTTGATCTTGATTTTATTTTCACTTTTTATTCTTAATTTCACAATTTTTTTATTTTATTTTTTTTTTAAATGTTAATTTAAGTTTAAATGTGAGAAGAGTTTTCTATGTCTCACTTCAATCTCGTATACAAAGGAACAAATAGGTTCATAGACATCATTTCTTAGGTGTGTCATGATCCAGGCATCAAACTCCCTTTATTGTTGTGAACACTCATACTTTCAATTCAATAAATTGGACCTCACATCGGAGAAGGATGAATTTCTAATTGCTGAAATTTTCCATAGTAACTAGTTGAAGTAATCTAGGTCCTCCATAATTTCAATTGTGTACTAAATCGTTGATCGGTGCATTTACTATTACTGCTTTCTAGCACTGCAGCAATAGAGTGTAAATCTTTTAACTTGTGTTCCCAGGTCATTTGTTTTATTACCATGCCAAACGTTTTATCACTCAACGAATTCGATGTGTGTCTAAATCCTCTGTGATAATCATACAATGTATTTTTAGATAATTAAGGAAATAAAAAATAAGTAAATCATCATTGATAAATTAGATAAATTCATCTTTTCTGGTACATACTCATGATCTACTGATTTTGTTGAATTTTTCTGCTTCTATATAAAGTTTTATTGTGAATTCTTTCGAATAAACTTGAAATTGTTTTGAAATGTTTTAATTACTTTGATATTTTACCACCCAATTGAGATTATCATTATTACGTATTTTTTTTGGAGTGGTATTCAGAATTTTTTGTGGATCAAATGAATTAGTGAAGAATTCTGCTTACCTCTCCCATTTTTTCATTATTTTTCCTCTGCCAAGTCGTTTCGGAAGGTGTCATGACATCATAATTATCAATCATTTGTAAATGCAGTTTATTCTGATGGAGTTTTGAGAGAAGAGTTCTAAGTCTTTGAACCAAACTGCTTGAAAAATTGATCATCCGTAAGAAGAACAAGCTGTGAATTATTTTGTTTAAGAAGTGGTTAGCAGCTTCTGTCTTAAGATTCTAATATCGCATTCATGACTGATGATTGAAAGAGAAGAACAATAGACATTGAGGAAACACGAGGGAAAAGGGAAAAATTTAATGAGATCATGGACTATCTAAAGTCATCTCCACTTTTCAGGTTGAGGCATTCAGTGTTTCAAAGGTTCTCGTCAAAAACCCTTAATTGAGGACACCGCACCAAGAACAGCCTATAGGCGTATAGGTCGTTATTACGCCCATCTGCTTTTCGGATTCTATGTACCCTGGACTATGTTGTGGTAGCGATAGAATATAGATAGGTAACGGCTCGAGGTCGAGAAACCTTTTTTTTCCGAGATAAGTCAGGCCTCTGGATCGATGGGTGCAAGAACGGGCCTATAAGGTGCTAGTTACCCCTTTCTTTACTCACTATCGATATTCTTTCATTTTGTGTTAATGATGCGTGATTAAAATGATTTATACTTCATATTGCCACCAAAATGACTGTTGGGCGTAATAATGGCCTATAAACCGCTTTTTTAAATTAAATATATTAGAGTGTAAACCCAAAATATATCGCAAAATCTACCCTGCATCCTTCAATAGAAGGGTTAGGTCAACCAAAAACACCAAAACAGGGTACCTGCATAGAAAAGTCTGCGCAGTACATCAAAAACAAAACTTTAAATGCGTTTTTCTCCAAACGCGGTTTCCAGTTATGGGCTGTTCTTGGTGCGGTGTCCTCAATTGTAATTGGCACTATTTTGAGCAATTTTTGCCCTTACATTTTTGCTCCAAATTTTATACTCTCTTGGTATGAGAGTAAAGTATCAAAAAACACACAAGAAAAAATTGATTTTCCTTATCTCCATGTTTGATTACCCGTGACTGACAATGAGATAAAAGTTATTAGCTTTAATGAAGAACCTAGTCCTAGCCCTGTAGCCGCAGTTTCGCGGATACTTCCTTCATCAACGAAAGCACGATTGCGGCAAACGAATTTGAAGGCGCTTTTCAAACGGAACATGTTTTTTTTTGCACGTAGAATCGGCTCGTACTTTCTGAGCCGATTAAACTATTCCGATGCTGAGAGCCTTGCGTCTTTATGTCTGTCGGTCAGAAAGGCAATCTACTCAAATTTTTCGTCGTTCATCCGTCAGCAGAGTGCCTTCCTTTAACAAAAATAAATAAATAATCGCCGAAAATAAATGGTTTTTTTAAAAATGGAAGGTCCATGGAAGGCATTATTCTTTGCCAAATTGGCAGTATCCCGTATGATTTTATTTTCATGACAGAACGGCGATATAAAAGAAAACCTCTGAAAGCGAGGGAGTTTCGGAAACTTTGGAAAGTGAGGGAATATTTTCCCGGAGGTCAGGGAATGTTCTCTTCATGTAGAGAAAAAATCGCACTGAGCGCCGAGCGGTCTCTTTGGTCGGCTGTAGATCTTTTCAGATAAAGTTTAAGTCCAGAAGTTCTTCCTTAATTGGTCAGTTTTTTATTTTTTTTTATTCATTTTTTTCCCAGAAAAATTATGGAATTTTGATTTTTGAGTCCAGTTGCAAACCCGTAAATATCTAAGCTCGTATCAGGGCGGAAATATACCAGTTAATTATTGGGCTGTCGTCTGCATCCCAAGTAGCATTTTTCAATGTAAAAGTTGCAAAATGTTGAAACAATGTTGGTATAAGTTGGTCAACTTTTGGTCGATGAGTGCCGATATTCGGCGATCTGATCGGAAGACAAAGTTGTAACCTGCTGAGATTGCAAAATTGCTTCACCAAAGTTGTTTAAAATCTAAAGATAGGCAACCAGCAATACTTTGAAGTTGAAACATGTTTCAACTTAATTGCAACTAGTTCAGACAATGATAGCTCCTTCGGGGGGAAAAGTAGGCAATCTGCACATCAATCTATTAGTTGCAAGAATCAAACGATTTTGTTGCAAGTTGTTGCAATCTCTGTTACTTGGAATGGTGCGAGTCACGTGCTAAAGGCTTTTTACCGACCTTTCCACTCCCTCTATCCCCATACGTCTCCTTCCTTTCAAGATGTATCTCTCCAACGGCACGCACTGCCCAGAGCGTTAAAGCTAATGCGCCTTCATTTTTGGGACATGCAATACGGATAGCTATCGAGCGCGAATAGTTGCATGCAGGGGTCGTCAGTCGTCACTAACTGCGAGTTGTGAGAAAACCGGTGCACCTTGAATTGGTCGGATATGCAACACGGACAGTCGTCGAGCACGAATAGATGCATCCGTGCAGGCGTTCGCATTAAACTCATGGCGCGTTCGTTGGTGGAGCCATCAAGCCTCGCAGTTGGCTCTTCCGCATTTTACAGCATTGTCGACCCACCCGTATGGACAAGGTAGGGCTTTGTCGATCAAGTTCATTCGATAAAGGAGCAATAAAGTTTCGATAATCAATTCGCAGCACGCTCTCTCTTGAAATTCCATCGGCAGTTTGTTGAATGATCTTCAGCGACCAATAATGTTACTTAGGGCTTCGCCGGACAATACCATTCGACATCCGACGAATAAACGATGAAATAGTGATCAACCAGTGAACATAAGGCTCGTTAGGTATAGTTTTAAATGAAACTGGTATTTTCAACGTGTATATTACGTACATAGAATAGCGCGATGATTTTCGAATGTAATTTTTTTTTTTAAATAGTTAGAAAAACGTCAAATTGAGTGGTCGTATTCATGATGAAATAAGAGGAAAAGTTAACAAGAATTACTGAGCTGGGGGTGTTAATGTAATCGTCTTCTGAAAGTCTCGCTGAGATATTCTTTCGCGCAGCCGAATGGTCCAATTCGCCTCGTCTATCTTAAGCCTGCCTAGTACCAATGGTAGATTGAATTCACTTTTAATTCTAATCTCGTGAAATTCAACTATACTTATGCGCCCACTCATTTATTCGTGGAGCTTGGAGGAAGGAAAAAAGATGGACTGGTCTTCACAATTTATTCAGTCGCGGTCATTTCATATTTTAATGAGATCACAGAACGATATTATAATCAGCCTCCCGCAAGTCTTCAACCTTCTCTTTTTTAAAGCTCTAAATTATTTTCAATCTGTGTGAACGGATATGCCGGTATTGAGGATATGTTGCTTGTGGTACTACTGTGGTATGGCCGACCGACGGACAAAGAAACCAACTATCTGTACAATGCCAAACGGCGAATAATTGATTGATGAAAGTCTGTCTATGAATTCAGACAAAACTCACTATTTTTTTTTTTTTTTTTTTTTTTTTTTTTTTTTTTTTTTTTTTTTTTTTTTTGTCAGCATTTATGAAACTTGAGCTCAAGGAAACTCTGAGCAAACGACTCTCATTCCATAAATTTTGATTTTGCTTAAATATTTGACATACTTTTTTTTTTATATTTTGATATTGAAAAAGTTCACCAAAAATTGCAAATCGTCTGTCTTGCTTCAAATAATGAGTAAAAAATATAAAAATAAACCAATACACAAATCAGGGCCGAACTAAGGGGGTGGCCTTAGCCTACAAGAATGCATAAATACCTCACGCATTTCGGCAAACACAGTGCGATCAGCGTGAAACGCATAGCGCCTACAAGACTGCGTAAATACTTCACGCATTGCGTCAAACACAGTGCGGTCTGCGCGGCGCGGCGGCGGAAGTTAAAATCATTAATCCACATTTTATGTTTGTTCTTTCATAATTTTTTCGTTCATTTCTTATGGAAGGCCTTGTCCACACAGAGGTAGGTTCACGCAATTTAGCTTTCGCGCAAAGTTTCGTGAACTTTTGATAGTAGTGTTGACAGGGCTTTCCAAAAAAATGTGTTCAATACGAGTAAATGCGTTTTATGCACCCCTCCCCCGCTGGCACGTTCATTTGATGGTTTTTATTGATGTTTCAAAACGAATGAGAAGGGGGCGGCAAAATACAGGCGGCCCATGGGCGTCAAGTAGATAAATCCGGCCCTGACACAAATCAAATATATAAACACAAACATTGTGTGGAAAAGTATATAGTACAATACAAAATCGAAATTTTTTCCATGATGAAAGGAAGAACCGCACGACCAAAATCTGACTCAGCGAACCGTGTTTCAGCCTTTCGCATGGTCGCTCACCTCTCGACGGGGAAAAGAAAACTAAACATCGTCAACTCCGATTAAATAATTTATTCATCATTACAAATCTATTTACAGAAAACAATTCTAGGATCCCCTGATAATTCAAGTATGCCATTATACCCAATTTTCTCACATGGCCTGGTTGAACAAAACTGATTCATTTTATTTCGACCACAGAAAACGTGTCTCGTCTCGTCTTTTTTTTTTTTTTTTTTTTTTTTTTTTTTTTTTTTTTTTCTTGCTCTTCGATCATTCGGTCACTTTTGGTCACTGCTCAGTCACTATTCCCGATTGCATAGAGGCAAAAATTGGTTTTTTCTCGCCTTGAAACCCTTTCAAGGCCTGACCTAGTGTCTCTCCGGAAACGTCAAAATCTATAACACTCGAGCTCGAGAAACAAATTTATTCATTTTGATGACGAATTTTCCT